TTTTTCATAAGTTTTCCCGTCAGTGATTCCTTTGATAATGGCAAAAACACTTTTCCTGTGGGAGACTGTTTTTCCTCAGTTGTTTGTTTTACGCTCTTCTGATTCCATTCATGGAGTAGCCATTTGCTTGAAGTGCATGGTTTAGATGATTTAGTTCATCGTTGAGAAAGGGCAGTTCACATAGCTGTCTTACACAGTCTACTAATGTTTTCCTTCTCACATTGACACAGAGAGTACTCCATCTTTCTGTGTTATACCTGAGGATGCCAGTCACAGCTGCTGGTGAAATGTCAAGTACTACCAGGGGTCATTTTGTAGAAAAAGAGGTGCAGGAGCTCATTAGCATAATGGGGCGTGCAGATCTGTCCTCACAGAGGAGGGAGAGCTTGTACCTGAATAAAACTTGGTCTTAAAGGTGCCACTGGACGGTTTTGGACTGGGGGGGCGGGCTCTGCAACTTACCTGGCTGCTTCTTGCTCTGAAGGCTGCTGGGAGCAGGGGGTGGGGGTTGTTGCATGTGCCTGCCCCCTGGGCTCTTTACTGCTGGAGCTCTGCTCCTGTGCGCTCCTGCAGGAAATGACCCCCGAGTACTACAATGCTAAGACCACAACCATACAGCCTGGAAAATCTACAACAACTAATGAACTCCAGCCGTGAAAGCCTTCAACAACATATTAAATGGGAACAACCAGTAGGTGGCAACCGGAAGACAGTAGCCATTGAAAACAGAGTTTCATTAGCTTCCTAAAGGTCTCTCTCAGCATTGCATTTGACACTAGATGACACTGAGTCACAGTTATTCCCCTTTAGTGTAGCCTCTTTCCACTGTGTAATGAATTAATATTGCATCCTGAGTCTTGGTTCAGACTCGAGTTTAATGACAGTTCACTTTTCTAATTTGTTCGTTGTGGATTTCAGGGACGGGCTGTGGTTCAGTGGGACAGCATCCCCTTGGAATGCAGAATGTCCCAGGCTCACTCCCTGACATCTCCAGTTAAAAGATCTGGCGGTAGGTGATGTGAAAGACCTCTGCCTGAGACCCTGAAAGCTGCTTCCAGTCTGAGTAGACAAGAGTGACTTTGATGGACCGATGGTATGATTCAGTATAAGGCAGTTTCATGTGATTTCTCATGTGAATGCCAGAGTGAGTTTGCTTGTGTGTGTTTTTTGTGAAACAAACCAGCTGAGTTGGCCATGCCAGATTTCTGTTTGCTGCTCATTTACTCTGAACTTGCTGTTTTGACTTTTTAACATACATGTAGAGGCGTCTATACTTTCAGTTTTTAGCAGAGCAGGCATAAACAGAGTAACACCCTTCCTAAGCCAGTTTGCCAAATCCAAGGAGACTAGGCATGGTAGCTAAAACCTCCATGTTCAGAAACAGTGTGCCATTAAGTAACAGAGATTGGAGATAAACAGTGGAGCAAGGCTGCCCTTTTCATGCCTTGCTTGTGAGTTTGGCCATTATTAGAAACAGGCTAGCCTGATCTTGTCAGATCTCGGAAGCTAGTCCCCAGGTGTGTATATAGTTGGCCAGCCGGCCGTTAGTCTTTGTCTTTGTTGTGTACCAGTAAACCATGCTGATCACTACATCGGTCTCAGTGGTTTCTACATGCGTCTAACCAACTACACATCAGTAGCTAAAACCTCCATGTTCAAAAACAGTGTGCCATTAAGTAACAGAGGTTGGAGATAAACAGTGGAACAAGGCTGCCCTTTTCATGCCTTGCTTGTGAGTTTGGCCATTATTAGAAACAGGCTAGCCTGATCTTGTCAGATCTCGGAAGCTAAGCAGGGTCAGCCCTGGTTAGTATTTGGATGGGAGACCACCAAGGAAGTCCAGGGTTGTCATGCACAGCCAGGCAGTGGCAAACCACCTCTGAACATCTCTTGCCTTGAAAACCCTACAGGATCACATTTAAGTCAGCTATGACTTGACGCCAAAAAGGAAAAAAAGAAACAGACCCAGGGCATTTCTTATACGCTTGTATATGTATAGCCATCTTATATATACATTTTTTTTTCTGTACAAAGGAAACTTTCTTTTAAACCTTGATTAAATTGTAGTAGAACCTTTCAAGACAAGGAAAAGTCACCGGGGGCGGGGGGGGGGTAGCTTGTGTGCCTCAGTTTGACAAGCTTTGCTTCACAAGCAGGATTTGCATACTGAAGAGTTTCTCTCCCCTCTCTAGGAGCTCAGCATCGCCCTCTACAGACACCTCCTTGGATTGCAGGACGACAGAGGCCGCTCAGAACATTCCATGGCTGGGATGGAGCTGAGCCTCCTTTGTTGTGACATTGATAGTGAGCTGATCGAGCGAGCAAAGCAGCGAAGCCCCTTCCCTGCCTCTGTTTCTTATGTCACCCTTGATATCATGGACCCCAATACCAGGGAGCCTCTGCTGCACTCCTACTTGAGCAAGTTTGGACGCTCTGCTTTTGACATTTGCTTCTGCATGTCCGTGACCATGTGGATCCACCTGAATCACGGGGACAGTGGCCTGGTGACGTTCTTGTCCTATCTTGCCTCCAAGTGCACGTACTTGCTAGTGGAACCGCAGCCGTGGAAGTGCTACCGAGCAGCTGCCCGGCGCTTACGGAAGCTGGGGAGGAATGACTTTGACCATTTCCGCTCGCTCGCCATCAACGGGGACATGGCAGAGGAGATAACCAAAATATTGACCCAAGACTGTGCCATGGAGCTTGTGTGTTGCTTTGGGAGCACCAACTGGGACAGGAGCCTTTTGCTTTTCAAATCAAGTAGGCCGGATACTTGTGGCGATTAAGGACTTGTCAGTGTTTGTATCACATCAGAGAGAAGGCAGCAGGTTATCAGCAGGGCAGTTTGATGCTGGCCTGTTAACTTGGATAGATTTATTTTAAGGTTGCATCACTCGAATGTACCTTTTCGTGTCACTGTGCTTGGGAGCAAAGACATGTATGTGTGTAATCTTTTTAGGAAGCATATTCATGATATGGTGCCAGTAACCCCTTAGGGTGGTGATGGGTGAGGTTTGAGAGGGAAAACTGATGGGACAGGGTTGTAGGGTCCCCCAATGAAGGAACCCCAGCTTCACTGCTGCAGGAGTAAAGGGAGGATGGAGGCCCTGTGGATAGCAAACAACATGCTGAAGGCTAGTGGGAGTTTTGGCTAGCCTTGGAAAACTGCTGGGTTGTTGGGGTGGAAAGTGTGGTGCCAGGAAAGAGTTTTAATATTTTGTCATGATGCCAAAAATGTTCCTGTTTCTTAGAATATGTTACACTGTGTCTCCCCCCATTTTTTAAAAAATGACTTTTTCATGTTCTTTCATCTCTTTGAAACAATCATCACTGTTCTTTCTTTACAGCATCCATTGCAAAAGCAGAAAACCAAATGTACCATGCTGGGAGAACGAGAGTTGATTCACAAATATTTAATTCAGTAAGGGGAAAGAAAATCTTGGCTAAAATGCACCATCACATTCATATGGTTGTTTCTCCAGCAGAAGCCGTACAACTTTTTCTTCTTCTTGTCTCTCTCTTTTCATCCCCCCCCCCAAATCCCCCAATCTGACCTAACCTTTGGCTGTTCTACTCCCATCTTGTTGTTCCCCATTTTCCAATTTGGGGAAAGTGTGTTTTAAAACAAACAAAAGAAACTCCTCGTGCATTCTCAATGAACTTTCTGCTGCTAGATAAAAATGCAATTGTTGTATGCGATGAAATGAAAGTACACATTCAGAGGTCATAATAAATTCTGGCTTGATGACCCCCGTCAGTTAATTGTGACACCTGAATGCAGGCAGTCCGATAAACCAGGGAAGGCTGGTTGGCATCAGCCTAGAACAGAGATAGCAAACCTTTTAGAGACCGAGTGTCCAAACTGCGACCCCAAACCCACTTATTTATCGCAAAGTGCCAACACGGCACTTTAACCTGAATACTGAGGTTTTACTTTAGAAAAAACAACTCATACATTAACTTAAGATGATCCAAACAAAGTAAGGAAAGCAATCCCAAATGCTTTCATTTACTTAAAATTATTTGGCAGAGAATTCGACACTTTAATGATGGTCTGGGCCTGGCTGGGACGATGGCACGCGTGCCCACAGAGAGGGCTCTGAGTGCCACCTCTGGCACCCGTGCCATAGGTTCGCCACCACTGCCCTAGAATTTCTAACCAGGGTTTGTAGTGACTGTCCCACCAATCAAAGCTCTTGTCTGGTGGGCACACAGGAGAGAGAGCCTCTTTGGTGGCAGCCCCACGATTATGGAACAGCCTCCCCAGGGAGATGTGCCTGGCCCTCCTCACTTTCAGCCTTTAGGAGGCTGTTGAAGATGGTTTTATTTAGGGCTGCATTTGACCACTTTTAGTTTTTATCTATTGCAGTCCCAGTTGAGAGAGCTAGCGTGGTGTAATGGTTAAGACTGTTGGACCAGGATCTGGGAGATCGAATCCCCACTGGTGCCATGGAAGCTTGCTGGGTGACCTTGGGCCAGCCACACTCTCTCAGCCTAACTTACCTCACAGGGTTGTTGTGAGGATAAAATGGAGGAGAGGAGAATGATGGAAGCTGCTTCAGGTCCCCATTGGGGACAAAGGTGAAGTGAAAATGAATTAAATAAATAATAAATTATGGTCTTTTGTATGTTGTTTATAATCATTGCTTTATTTACATTGGAAGCAGCCTTGAGTCCTGCAAGGTACAAAGGTGACTAATAAATGTTTTAAATAAAGAAGAATCAGACAAATGGGGTTTTATGGACCACCCAGGATTAATTACATCTGCTAGACTAATCTGTGATTTTTCTGGCCACTCTATCAGTCATCATGACATCTGAATGCAGCCTAAAAGTTGGGGGAGGGGGTCCTCGCAGTATATGGTGAAATGGCTGTACTGGAGTGACAATTAGGGAGTTCTTTACAGATGATAACTGCAACCAGGGGTCATTTCCCAGGGGGCCCAGGGGGAGCCCAGGGGGTGGGCACATGTAACAAGCCCCATCCCCTGCTCCCAGCAGCCCTCAGTTGGGCCACGAGGAGCAAGAAGCAGCCAAGCAAGTTGCAGAGCCCCCCCCCGCCCACCTTCAGGTACAAGCTCTCCCTCCTCTGTGAGGGCAAATCTGCATGTCCCCTCCCCCATAGCTAGCAATCCAAAAGAGTCCAGTGGCACCTTTAAGACCAAGTTTTATTCAGGTACAAGCTCTCCCTCCTCTGTGAGGACAGATCTGCACGTTCCCCCCCCCAATAGCTAGCGATCCAAAACAGTCCAGCGGCGCTTGAGTGGTGGGTGTGGCATATGCAAATAAGTTATGCTAATAAGTTATGCTAACGAGCTCCTGCACCTCTTTTTCTACGAAATGACCCCAGACTGCAACAATATTTCTCTGACCAGCAGTCTTTAAACCAGGCTTCATACCTCTTGTTCTCTGTCCAGCTTGGCCAAAAGAGGGCTCCATTATTTCAAAGCTCACCAGAAGGAAACTGCAATCCATATCCATGAGCTCCTTGCATAAACATGTTGCTTACACAGTAGTGTGCAGAGATCTTTACTTCAATTATACTCTGCCTTTCTCCCCAGTTGGGGGCCCAAAGTGGCTTGCATTTTTCTCCTCGCTTTCATGTTACCCTCACAACAACCCTGTGAGGTAGGTTAGGCTCAGAGTGGGTGACTGGCCCAACAAGCTTCCATGGCAGACAGGATCCTAGTCTGACCTTCCAACCACTAACCTTCACCACCTCTCTCTGTGTGGGGAGGTCTGTGCTGGGAACTAACTCCCAGGTGTACCAGGCCTGATTCAAATGGGCACCGTGGCACTTGGGGAGAGGGTGGTTATGTTGCCCCTGTAACATTTTCCTAATCTGAAATGACCCCAGTGGCCCACTATTTGCTTCACTAGGAGTGCCACGTGTACTGATGGGGTACGCTTAGGTTTCTCCAAGGCGGCAAATAGAAGAAGAAGAGATTGGATTTATACTCCGCCCTTCACTCAGAGTCTCAGAGCGGCTTAGAAGTTCCTTTCCCTTCCCCTCCCCACAACAGACATCCTGTGAGGTAGGCGGAGCTGAAAGAGCTCTTTCCAGAACTGCTCTTTCAAGGACAGCTCTGAAAGAACTATGGCTTGCCCAAGGTCATCCAGCAGCTGCAAGTGGAGAAGTGGTTCTCCCAGATTAGAGTCCACGCACTTAACCACTACACCAAACTGGCATCCCCTGGGCTGTTTCAGACTGGGAAAATGGCAGGAGGGCATAAGCATTCTCTGCCTGTGCGCCGTGGTCCTGATCCATGCATACCTGGGAATTACTGTCCCAGAGCAGGACCCAGGGAAGATGTAACATGCAGTTACGTTCCAAGTTCGTACTTGGGGACTTACCTGCATTGAGGTCTCCACTTGCTCCGAGAGATCTCAGCTCTTGACGAATGCAAACTATTTACCTTGTCTCATAGGGCATGGTGGGATCCATTGACAGCTGAGCTTCCTCCCACCTGCATTGCCCTGCATCTTCATCTGCCCCTTGCCAACACAGAAGAAGATGCAAGCTGATTCGAATACCCATAGGCCTGGAGGAAAGGATTCATGTTGCAAAGGTGTGATAGAAAGATTCCAGAAGGTGTCTCTATTACTCTGTTGCAGTTGAAACAAAGAGTCTGATGATAACTTAAGATCTAACACTCATTTGCCTTTTATTTATTGTTTTGTTAAATTATTTACTGTGTCATCAGCTTTCTTCTTGGTAGAGTGATTGGTGGGAGGCTGGAAGAAAGGTTAAGAACCACTGAACATTGGCTACCCAGTTCCCTGGCCACTGGAAATCACCACTAGTAATTGACCTTTATCATTTCACCAGATGTGGCTTGCTTGCTTTGAAGTTCATGTTTGCTGTAATAAGGAGTAGAGGAGTATTTTTAAAAAATGGCAAAATATTCAGAATGCTGATTACCAAATCCTGTAAGGCCCATGTCCCTGAGCCATTTGTTCTGGCGGTCCTCAGAGAAGATTTCTTTAGCACTGCTTACATTGATTTACGCTGAGGAATATTCCAGATTTGTTATCGCCACCTAAACATTTGAACTGAATCCTTTGTAATAGTTTGGTATTTGATTTGCCTTGAGCAGAACAGGAGTCTAGCATCTTGCTATGAGGTCTCTTCATATGTTTGTACGTGATAACAGTGACCTTCTCTGGAAGGCTCTCCTGTATTCGTTTTGATGCAATCAGGTGGAGCGCTCCTAGCGCAGCAGTATTTATTTATTTATTCAAATTTATACCCCGCCCTCCCAGCTCAGGGCGGCTTACACAAAATCAGCAGAAAACATTTAAATAGTGCAATAAAACTTTTAAAACAGTATTTTAAAAATTACAGTTCAATAATAAGTGGTAGTTTTGCTATTATAAAGTTCATGGTGGTTACCATCAACTCTCTCTTCCCATGGCTGGCACAGATCTTCTATAGGTGTCTTTCAGGTGTCCCTCTGGCGGCTAGCACAGTTGTTAATATAAGTTTAAAGTTTCTGCCTCCAGGGAATACTTTCATGTTAACTTGTCTGCTGACAAACTTCTTCCAATATAAGAGCCCAGCTGCATCATGCCAGTGGTCCATCCAGTCCAGCATCACACAGTGGCCAACAAGTTACTGGAAATGTAACAAAAGGGTACAGAGGCCAAGGGCTTTCCTGATGTTGCCTCTTGGCACTGGTATTCAGTGCCAATGACTTTATTTCCCATCCCTCTTTAGTGCTCACGGCTATTAGCCACTGATAGACCTGTGCTCCATGAAGTTCCATGAACAGACACTCCTGAGTGTCTGCTACAGAACTGTCACATGTTGCAAAGACTTCTGCATTATGTTCTAGGGTGCACATTGTGCACCCGTGTGCTGGTTTGGACTGTTGTGTTTCAGGGTCAGCCTGCATCACAAACACTACACAAGCTCAGAAAGTGTTGCTGTAGAAGCAAACATTCAGGTAAACCCAGATTTATTTATTTTTTAAAATGCTAAGGTATGGTCTTATCTCATTTCCTGTGCAATGTAGAAGAGCAGCTCCCAATCCAGCTGCTCTTCTACAAGGTACAGAATATCTCTTGGCACACATCCCTGGAGACACTTGTTGTTTTACAGTCTGCACAGAAGCGTCTTCCAGCATTTCAGATGCAGCACTGCCTCATGAATATACTGTGAACAAAATTAGACAGGACAAGGGAACCCACAAGGATTTGGAGGAGGCATCTCATTTCTCCCTCCCCGCTGTTCCCTGAATGCCCCGATAGCTTAGGATTTGGAGGAGGCATCTCATTTCTCCCCGCTGTTCCCTGAATGCCCCTATGGCTCCTCCCTTTCCCTTTTTCTTTTGGTGAGTATTTGTGTGTGCATGTATGTGCTTGCGAGCCTGGAAGTCATGGTGAGCAACCTCTAGTGGAGCAACTAGAGCAACCTCTAGTGGGGCTAGGACGTTTTTCAGAGAGGTGGCTTGATTGCCTGCCTCTTCATCCAAGGAGATTGCCTCTGCTTTCCAGCCCTGGTATTCTTTTGAGATATCCCATCTAAATACTTGTCAGGATTGGCCCTGCTTAGCTTCCGAGATCTGACGAGATCAGTCTTGCCTGGGCTATCCGGGTCAGGGCAGCCTCTCCCCTTTTCCTGCTTCCTTCTCTCGTTCGAGGGTTACCAACCTGAAGACCTCTTGAAATTACAGTGGATCTCCTGACTACAGAGATCAGTTCCCCTTTGGGAAATTCCTGACGATTTAGGGGTGGACCCTTGGGAGGGTGAAATTTGGGAAGTGACCTCAGCAGGGCATAATGCCGGAGAATCCATCCTCCAAAACAGCCATTTTCTCCAGGGGAACTGATCTCTGTTATTTGGAGAGCAGTTGTGATTCTGGGTGATTGCCA